ACGCCAAGCGCTACTCGTGGTCGGGCATGAACCGGCTGCACAAGGGCATCCGCGACCAGGCCCACTACCAGCTGGGCGAGCGGCCGGCCATCCAGAAGCCCAGCGCCTTCTACCTGCCGGACCTGCCCTCGGCGCCCTACTTCCCCCGCGAGTCGCAGCGCCACGACGTGGAGGTCCTGGAGCTCAGCTTCCCCGCCATCCTGCGCGAGTTCGAGGGCGTCGCCTGGGACTTCGCCGCCGCCGCGCCGCCGGCAGCGCCCCCTCGGGGCTGGACGGCCAACGGCACGCCGGGCTGGCACAGCTATTACCTCTACCGCCAGGGGGAGTGCGTGGCGCAGAACTGCCGCAGCTGCCCCTGGACGTACCGCGCCCTCTGCGCCCTGCGCACCTTCGTCAGCGCCAACCGCTTCGGCAATGCCTGCTTCAGCGTCTTGCAGCCGGGCACCGTCCTGCCGGGGACCTACGGGCCCACCAACACCCGCGTGCGGTGCCACTTGGGTGAGCAGGTGCCAGTGGCCCCGGGGGTGGGGGGAGATGCGGAGGGTGTGGGGAAGACTGCAAAGCCGGATCCTTCCTCTGTCAGCCTTGCAAACAGAAATGCCAACATCCATAGGGTGGGAAATGCAGGGGTGGGCGAAACGTGTAGCTCCCCATCTCTTTTGGCCTACAACTCCCATCCGCCTTAACCAGCAAGGTGATGCTGAGGCATGATGGAGCTTGTAGGTCAAAGCATCTGCAGGGCCACCAGTGATCAATGGTGCAGTCCTGTGCATGCTTAAGCAGAAGCAGCTCCTGCAGTGCTTGTAGGACCGTTTTCTGTCTAAATATGTCTACGAATGTGCTTTATGCCCCCTGAAAAGGTCACCAGAAACGTGCAAGGGTTTGAGATCTTCAGATCTCTTAGTCAGGCAAGATATTACACAAAGCGGGTTGACAGAGGAGGAGTATGAAACAGCATGGGTGGCATCCTTGCACATGTTGCAAAATAGGAGGTGGCACTTCATTGCTGGTTATAAATATCCAACAGCAATCTTTGCAACTCCTGAGGTCATGTTTAAGGATGCAACATAAATGAATAAACTGATTTAAACACTTAAAAAGTGCTTCCAGATGAATTGGTCAGCATACTGTCAATGGGTTACTCTTACAGAAGACCCAAAAGAAATAAATGGGAATTAACACTAGTCATGACTAATTGCTCTCCCATTCATTTCAAAGAGTCTAAGTAGGACTGATATCCTACAAGATCTTTAATGGTGCAGTCCTATGCATATCTATTCAACACTAAGTCCCATGGGATTTAATCAGGCTGATTTATTCCACATAAGATATGGCATTGCAGCTTTAATTTTAAATGCAATTGCTGACAAAGAGCATTTTCCTGGAAGGGCCAGTGGTTGGGAATGATGGGTATTGCAGTTCAACACATTTGCAGGCCGTCATGCTTTTCTTACTATTATTTACTCATTACATGCATGCATCTCTTCTCACTGTGAAAAGTAGTCTCAAAGTGACTTACACAACAGAGAAATCTCTGATTAATACAACAAATTGGGGGTACTCCCCAGATCAATATAAACCCAAATAAAAGTAAATATCATGAAAACATCATAAAAATACATTGCAAAAAGCATTAATCCACAAACGCACACTTTTCCCTGCTTGCAGTATAGCATGAAAATGATAAAGGCGGCCTTTAACAATTAAGCCATAACTAATGTCTGAATGCCTGGAGAGAAAATACATGCCAGGGAAGCCTCTGTTACAGCATGGATTAGTAGATGTGGCAAGTCGCTTGCGTATGTGGGAATGGGGTATCAGTGCACCTTTTTTGCCCTTGGCAATTCAATAAAACTGCATGGTATCACACAGGTCTCAGTTTCTGGTTTTAAAGCAAGTTTCTGGCCCTTGTGTTTGTAAACATGCAGTATCTTCAGAAGGGCTCCAGTAGGCAGAAGATGAGGTCCTAAGCTCCTTATCAGTACTTCCCTGGTCACCAGTTAAACATTCTCCTTATCACATAACTGTGTGTCCATGTGTGTTTATACAGGAACTGTTTTGGTCCACATCCTTTGCTGGGAGCAGTCCGGGTTCCCTTTCTCACAGGATGTGGAGCTTTTTCTTTAATGAGCTCTTTGTTATTGCCTTTTATCTGCATCTTTCAGGTTAAGGGTAGGGTTGAAACCATGGAAGCATTCGGGGTACCCTCCTCTCACAGCCGCCTGTCTGTTCCACTTCTAGGGTTGAAGGTCCCCCCTGGCTGTGAGCTGGTAGTGGGCGGTGAACCACAGTGCTGGTCGGAGGGATACTGCCTCCTTGTAGATGACTCCTTCTTGCACACCACAGCCCACAATGGTAAGAGAAAAAACAGCAGGCCAACCATGCTAAGGCTATAGTGGCCGTCCCCAGACCGGGATCACAGCTCACAGCATCCTCAGCCAGCTGTTCAGAGCTACACTTCAACACATCTAGACGGCATCGAGTTGGAAGGGATGGACTAGTAGGCTGAACTGGGGCCTGAAAGACCCAGGGTTGAAAAATACTATTTGCCCTGGCAATTCTTTGTCAGAGTATGGTTATGCATCCCCTGCTTAGCATTACCCACATGGTTCATTTGTAAAATGGATAGAACCCATCTTATTTAATGCATACCTGTTTGGGCACCTGGAGTCAATTTGAATTACTATAAGCCACCAGGAAGCTGGCCTCCCTATCCAGGATTTTGGGAAATGATCACAAGATAAAGATCATTTTGCCCAGTTTAAAGGTATCTAAAATAGGGACTGACAATTTCCAGGAACCAACTCTCCGTGCCAAGAATCTATGGGGTGGGGAGGGGGAAACAGGGCAGCCCTCCAAATTGATCATCAAATTTTGCTAGCACAGTAGTAAACCCCCCCCCCCAATTTCTCATTAAGTCAAAGTGCACAGGGAATGTGTGTCTTGTTTTAAAGCAAAATCCTGCTTCTGGACACTTGTGTGGGTGCAACTTTGCTTAGAAACAAGGCACATACTCCCCACCCACTTTAAGGATTTCTATTCCCTATTACGGTGCTGAGTTCTGGTGCTGTGGGTGGTGAAGGCTGCAAAACTGGTATTTCTTTCCCTCTCCCTTGCCTACCCTTGACCTAAAAGAGAATTCCTACCATGTTTTTTTTCAGGTTCCCCCACGGATGGTCCACGGGTAATTTTTATTGTTGATCTCTGGCACCCCAACGTGGCAGGACCTGAGCGACAGGCATTAGACTATATCTTTGCCCCTGGTTGGTAGGTGCCACCCTGATCAGGTATTGTAGTCAAGAAATCACACATATCATGCTATCACAAGGGTCTGCTGCACCTCAGAAAAAATAGCCTCCCACATTATTGCCTTGGGACAGATATTCATGGTGTAGACTGAGCTGGGGGACATTTCCTGGCCACAGCTTTGCAAAGCTGCATCTGATTCAAAGCCTACACATTGTTGTATCGTGGAAGGGGCTGTGGGGACATCTTTTTCCTCAAAGTGATTCTGTGACCACTTCTCAAACACTTGTCCTGTGATGTGGAATACTTTTATTTTATTTTTATTTATTAAAACATTTCTATGCCGCCCCATTCGCCGAAGCCTTGGGGTGGCTCCTCTTCTGGCATCCTGTTGATCGAATGGCTCCTCATGATCTTTCTTTTTTTAAGGAACCAATATTTTCAAGGGCAGCAGATGCTGCAGCCTACTCTGCAGGGCTAGATTCCCTTGGAAATCACCTGAAGATCGGCAAACCTCATTTTTAGTAGCTTGAACTTCTCTTAGGTTTTTGAGAAAGGGTGGATGGAGCTGTGGGCGAAGGGAGAAGTAAGCCAAGGTCACACTCTGTTTCCACGTCTTCAGATCATCTCTTAATACCAACGTTTATGTAATGGGATTTATTCCTTTATAATCCCAAAATAAATTCGCACTCCAATAAAATCATCTGTTGTCATGACTCATGGTTGGAACAAAAATCCAGAATCCTTTTGCATTCTTGCCATGGTGATACATTTGACAGGAACAGAGCCAGAGGCCATAAAACGAAACAAGTCATGGCCAAAGTCTCAACAATAGGTCCATTTAAAAAATCCTAATAATGTGTCTGACTGAGATGTTACAAGTCAGAAAGTCTGGCAAAATACAGTCTGATGAAAGTCTGTTAATTGGATCTGTGATGTCAGTTGCTTCAGGGCATGGTCTGTCACTGGAGATCTCCGTGAGAGTCATTAAAATAATTCATATGACCTTGCATGTAGCAGAGAAAGAATTACTAGCATACGTCTGTGCCACTGCTGGAATACTATGGCACAAAAGCAGACATGGCCTTCTGTCTGAATTTTGCTTCCGTATGTTTTGCCTGCATTTGTTATTTCTCTGGCAACAATGAGGAATAATGGCTGACAGCTTAAACTGCTTCCCCAAAGCTGCTGAGTCACTTGGGCACACCTTGCCAATGCTTCTTAGATTTCAACGCCAGCTCTTTTGCACTAATCCAGCCCCGGAATGAGCTTTTTTCCATGCTCACCAGAATCACTAAGCAGACAGCTGCATCTCAGAACACACGGTGCCCCCAGCAGCAGAGGGAGGTCCCACTTCTTCACCTAGTGCAGGAGGTGGGAAAACTAGTTTGATTTAACACACATGCCACAAGAACAATCATTCCTGCTGCTCTTCCCTTGAGCTCTGAGCTTGGAGAGGGAAGTGGTGGAGGAAGAGCTGATCATCCCAGCTATTGCAGAATGCTTTTCAAGCCCCCTGAATCCCTTCAATGCACAGCACAGGTCTGTGGAAGCTCCTTGCCCCTCACTCACTCTCAGGCTGCAAGGAAGGCTGCGGCACGCCGTGCTTCTCAACAGGTGCAGCACACTAGCCACAATAGCTGCGGCAGGCAGAATTAGTTACTGCTGATACTGCCTCTCTCTCTGACTTCCATCTCTCTCCATCGCTAAAGCCCCTAAAACTTAAAAGAGTGAATTAAAAACAAACTCATGGAGTTTTATTGCAAACAAGATCATGGAAAGCAAGTGCATCCTGCAGCTGTGCAGGGTTTGAGCTGCAGTCAGAGTCCACCTGGATTTAAATGCAATAGCTTGTGGCTCCAGTCAGCTGGAGAGGGGGGGCGACCAAAAGGATGGTCTTCCTGGGGTCAGTATTTCCGCTGCCGCAGGAAGAGACCCGGTGGCCGCTTTGGAGTGGGTACATCATCCGAGTCAAGGTCAAAGAGGTCCCGGCCCGTCTTCATGATCTGTTCCTCTAAGACTTTGTGACGCTTCATGTCTGACAGCACCTTGTCCAGGCGGGCCTCCCTCTTCTGGCTCTTCGCCAACGTGCCTGAAAAGTAAACAAAAATTGGGACTCACAGACTCTGTGGGAAGAGTGAGTTTGCTCTGGACCAGTGTTTTTCAAAGCAAGTTGCAGGTCTCGAGGGCAAGGTGTTGCTAGGAAGCGCCCATTCTGTCCTGACGTGACCCAAATCTACATTTATGCCCCAGCATCTACTTTCTGTTACTGCAAGTAAGGTAGGCAGTCATCCCTCCATCCCGATCAGTGTAATCTAGCTGTCCTTTCCTGTCCTAACTTTTCGCATCCGTTTTTGATAGCTCCCCAAACTCTTCTTTCGGAAACTTGCAAAGTAAGCTAAATAAGCCAACGTGTCCCTAACTTTTCAATTTCCTTGAATCCATCTAGAAACCTACAAACTCTGCCTGCCAAACTGTTTTGACCGAGCAAGTCTCTCACATTAGTCAAAGTAGAGGAAGAACTAAAGTCAGGATGTGCTCCTGGGGTAGCATCCAATCGTTTTAATCAGGGAAGGTAGAAAAAGGTTAGGAGCATGCAGTAGAACATGACAGCCAGCCAAAGGACTTCAGAGGACATACATATCCCAGAGATGCTTGGAGAAGAATATCACATACATTTTTTTTCTGCTAATGCTGGAAGCCTTTCCAGTCAATAGCAGGAAATTGGAGTGCTTGGTATTAAACAAACTATACAGTGGGCATAGTGGAAATTTGGTGGAACAGGGAGGGCCAGTGGGATACAGGAAGACAGTGGGGACAGATTTCTCCAGACAATCATAGTGGGTAACACTATAAGGATACCAAAGTAATTCTTTGGGGATACGGTGATTTCCTTTCTGATCAAAATTCGATTCTGATTTTGACATTGCAAATGAAATCAAAGAAAAATCTAAAAGGTGTTGTCTTAATGGGTGACTTAAGTTAACGCACACTATCTAGATAAATTCATGTTCTTGAAATATTCTGTGTAGTTCTGGGACACCATGTAGGGCAGCGATGGCGAACCTTTTAGAGACCAAGTGTCCAAACTGCAACCCAAAACCAACTTATTTATTGCAAAGTGCCAAAACTGCAATAAAACCTGAAAACTGAGGTTTTAGTTGAGAAAAAACAACTCACAGCAAGTCCAAGCAAATGTATATATATAGTTGGCAGCGTGCTGACCAGCCATGCGAAAGCTCGGACGAGTTGTAGCTGATGAGTCGAAGCTTGTGACGTCATCGCCTGGCACCGCTACTCCTTTCCAAGCATGCGCATGGCCCCTATGTGCGCTGTTATCTGATGCTTGGCTGCTGGGGCAATGCTGGCGCACCTTGGCTTGCGTACCAACAGAGATGGCTCGGCATGCCCGCTGTGGCACACGTGCCATAGGTTCAACACCACTGCCCTAACCCTACCCTGGTGCACACCCCTAACCCTAATATAGGGCAAAAGTTCCAGTGCAAAGAGGGCAATTTTGAAAAAGCCTTCCTTGAGTACCTTTTTCTGCACATCTCATCATTTCTGCCCATTCTGAACACATTCCAACCATCAAAATCATGCCAGGACACCTCATTTTTCTAACCCTAACCCTGCCCTGGTGCACACCCCTAACCCTAATACAGTGGTACCTTGTTTCACAAACTTAATCCATTCCAGGACTCTGGTCGTGACCCAAATTGGTTGTAATCCAAGTCAAATATTCTCATAAGGCTCAATGTAAATTAGGTTAATCGGTTCTGCAAATTTTTTTTTACTCACAAAAATTTGAAGCAAATCGACAAAGAACAACAAAGATCGCGGCCATCTCCCGCCCCCAGTGATCGTGCTGGGGGCGGGGAGAGGAAGGCGCAATTGCGGGCACTCTGGAGGGGAGGCGGGCGCGATTGCCAGCACACGGGGGAGGTGGATGTGGGGGGGAGGTGGGCGTGGGCATACTCAGGCAGGGAAAATGGGCACAATAACGGCCATTTCCACCCCCACAGCACAAATACGGCCGTCTCCCCCCCGCCCAGCATGACCGCGATCATGCCCGTGCAGGGAAGGTGGGCATGCTCACAATCGTCACCCGATGCAGAGTTCACGACCTGGGGCAAAATTTTGATGAAATTTCTGTTTGTGACCCAATTTGGTCATGAACTGAGGCATTCGTGAACCGAGGTACCACTGAATAGGGCGAAAATTCCATTGAAAAGAGGGTGATTTTCAAAAACCCTTGAGTAGCTTTTTCTGCACAGCTCAACATTTCTGCCCATTCTAATCACATTTCAACCATAAAAATCATGCCAGGACACCTCGTTTTTCTCACCCTAACCCAATGCTGGTGAACCTTTTAGAGAATGAGTGCTCAAACTGCAACCCAAAACCCACTTATTTATCACAAAGTGCCAAAACTGCAATAAAACCTGAAAACTGAGGTTTTAGTTTAGAAAAAACACTTCACAGCCAGTCCAAGCAAAAAAATATATATCCTTGGCAGCACACTGACCGGCCATGTGAAAGCCCAGATGAGTGGCAGCTAATGAGTTGCGGATTGTGACGACATTGCCTGGCGCCGCTACTCCTTTCCGAGCATGCGCATGGCCCCTATGCCTGCTGTTATCCTATGCTCAGCTGCTGGGGGGCTGCTGGGGTGACTTGGCTCACGTGCCAACAAGGAGGGCTCTGTGTGCCCACTGTGGCACCTATGCCATAGGTTCGCCACCACTGATGTAGGGCATTTTAAAGCAACGGTCATTTTCAGGCATGCCAAAAAGGTGGACCAAAATTTGCTTTTGACCTATCAGTGGCAGTAATGTTGCCCTCGGGAACATTCTTACTAAATAAGTGTCATACTCGAGACAGGTCAAAACCACAAAGGACAAGGAGGAAAATTTCTATAGAACTGTACAAGTGAAAACAAAATGCCATTCAATATGAATAAATATGAAGAGGCAGGATTGAAAGAGTGCTGGAGCCAATCAGAGTGTGCTATGCAATTATATCATCTATCATGTTTAAGTGCAAAACTGTAAAAATAAAGGGAAGCTTCTGGGCAGAAGTAATCACTGCCTGCAGAAATCTACATTGGTAAAATTGCTGTATTTAGTCCTGTTCTCTTTCCCTGTTGCAAGCTCTCTCAACAAATTACCATGTAGTACTAATAGCTGTCTTAAATACTCTTGCCTGGTGTGAACAAATAGGTCTATTTACAAAGTAACTGTGTTTTGTGTAAAATGGTTGAGTTCTTTTAGTATCTGAAAAACTACATCTCTACAGATCCAGATATAGAAAGGAAGTAGGAGCCTGTCAAGATAATGAAAGGTATACTTCTACACCTCAGAAAGGATATTGGAGAGCTGGAAAAGGGCAACCAAAGTGATCAAAGAGCTAGAACAACTCCCAAAGGAGGAAAGGTACAATGTTTGATGTTTTTTGGTTTACAAAAAAGGACAATGGGAGTGGTAGGGAGAGACAGGTTCAAAAAAGTATGCATGTTGTAGAGAAACTAGATAAGAATAATCTTAGAACATAGAACCAGGGGTATCCACTGAAGCTAAATAGTGGGAGATTCAGGACAAAAAAAAAAAAAACTACTTCTTTACAGAACATACTGTGAAACTCACTACCACAAGATGCACTGACGGCTGCTAACTTGAACTTTGGAAGGGGATTAGACAAACTGATGGGAGGTAAGGTCATCAATGGCTACTAGTTATGATGGCTATATCCTGCCTAATCTTGGAAGTTAAGCAGGGTTGGGCCTGGCTGAAATCTAGATGGGTGACTTAAGTGCTGTGAATTGCCCAGAGAGCTTCAGCTACAAGGCAGTACAAAAAGCTAATGCTAATAATAATAATAATAATACCACCACCTCCCACAAAAGCAGCCTTCCCCAGCTGGGTACTCTCCAGATGCATTAGACCACAACTCTCATAATCCTCCACCAGCTACAGGAATTGTAGTCCAATACATCTGGAAGCCGCCCAGTTGCTGAAGGCTGCTTTGGTGGGCCTCCGAACACCAGCAACCAAGCAGGCCTTTGGCCTGTACCAACAAAGCTCTTCTTAATGGGAGCTTGGCTTTCCTACTCTACATACCAGGGGTTCTCCGGCGATCAATCAAGGAGCTCTTGGGTGAGGCTGGCTCATCATCAAAGTCAAATTCCGTCGGCACGTGAGGCCTGGGGAGAACAGAGAAGGCAAGCGTCAGCAGAACCCCACAGCCCGCGGTCACCGCCTCCTTCCTCCCCGTAACAGCCCAGAACGCAGCTCCCCAGACAAGGCCCACTGCCTTACTTCTCTTCCTCCTCCTCTTCCTGGTCCTCTGGCTGCCCATCAGATTTGTCTTCATCATCACTGTCAGGCTCTGGGGTGGGGTTGCGGCGAGGCAGGATTTCGGCCTGGATTTCCAGAGTACCTTGGGCAGCAATGAGTTCATACAGGCGCCGGATCTCTGCAGGAGGGGGCATCCAGGTGTCGGGGGAATCCAATTCCTCGTCACTGCAGGGCACGCACCAGTCCTCCTCCTCTATGGACTCCTCACCCTTCCCTGACTGCTCTTCCTCTCCCTCCCTCCCAGGTGCTTCATCTTGCTCCTCAGTGGGGGCAGCAAGCTCCGGGGCAGGCCCATCTTCCACTGCCAAGGACTGCATCCCAGAGGTCACTTCCCCTTCCTCCACAGCACTGGCTTCCTCCATGGCTGCAAGAGAGACAAAAACTGTGGGAGGCGAGACTCGGGGATCAAAATACCCACAGCTGCAGAGTTGCCTGGGACAGTGCAGCAACGGTCCTGCAGCGTCCAAAATCAGAAACACAGCGCTGTGGCTGTTAAAATTCCCATCCTACGGCACTCCTCCTGGGAGACCCATTGAAATGAACAGTACTTACTTTAGGCCGGGAACCAGGCAACTTCAGGAGATCCATGTTCATCATCTCCATCATCCCCCAAACCCAGCCCCACTGCCATTTACAGCCCATCAAACCCCATCCCCTCCACAGGTATTGAAGCATTTTTTTTAATGTCTGTAGCATCGGAGGACATGAGGCTGCCTGACTGGAATCATCACAGACCTGACCTCTTCCCCCAGAGCAAAGCCAGCAGCAAGGGCACTGCTCCCTCAGTGGCATGTGGCGTTCCATATCCTTACTTTTGTGGTTGGGGGGCCTCCCCCTCATCATTCTGGCCAGGATCAGGGCTGCAGCAGCTTGGCTCCTACAAAATAACTTCCGTTGCTGCTGCTGCTGCTGGCACAACTACCTTGTGGGCCAGCTGATAGTTTCCTTTCTTAATCTCCTCTACCTGCTGTTCAGCATCAGTCTCCTGACTTCCAGTAACCCAGTCAAACACCACTGAAGAGTTTTCCTGCTGCTCCAGGCCCCGGCTGCCAGGCTTCCGACTTGCATCAGACCTTGCTAGACTGCTCCAGATGTCCAGGAACAGAACAGTGCCAAGGAACAGGATAGGGCAAAGCCATCCTGTCAGGAAAATCCACTTTCTCCTTGCCAGCAGGTATGCACGTATCCAGGGAGCCCCTCTCTCACATTTTACATGCCAGAACAGACCTACCACAGCAGTAAACTCAGGTCGCTCAGGCATTTAGGGCCCAGGCCCTTTCCTCTAAGCTGCTGCTTTCTTTCTACTAACTTGGGCACAGCTGCTTGCATACAATCCACTACTTGCACGTGAGGCCGTCCATGTTGTCAGTCATGCTGGTCCAGCAAATCCCAAAATCTCACAGGCAAAAAACACATACTCTACCTTGCATAAGCAGTTGCTGAGTTCAAGAGGCAGGCCCCACTGAAAGTCCCTTCCACTGGAGTGATTAGATCAGTGTGCACAAGCAACACTGATTATTTTGGCTTCCCAAGGAGAGTGGTCTCATCACAAGCCTGCATTTAAGAAAGCAAGCTGTTATTTTTCATGACTACATTAGCAGATGCCATGCTGAGATGATTTGCACCATTTTTAGTTGAATTTCATCTTTTCGCCAAGTAACTCTGGGCTTTATGTAACATCTCAAAGCAGGTGTAGTACAAGGATCAAGAAACAGGCTCAGAGGATTTATTGAGTGCAACAAGACTTACTCCCAAGAAAATGGATAGAGCAGCTTTGGGAGAACAGGAGTTGCAGACAAACACAACTGGAGAGTACAAGGATGGAAAAGGCTGCTAAACAGGATTTCTGCTTAAGTATGAAACAAGGACTCTGGAGAAATGGCATTTTTAGGCAAACTCTTTCAGCCTCAGTCTACTCTCCCCTGCCACTCTCAGTAAAATGGAAAATATTGATATATTTGAACTACTACTAAGTAATATTGAACTACTTTACAGGTAAGGATCACAACTAGATAACGCATGTGAAGTGGTTTGAACATCTGGAAATGAATACAAATGTGACAAGTATTATTATAGGATGGGATGGTGTAACCCCCCTGCAGGGGATTGGAACTGATGGCCTTCTTGGCCACTTCCAACTCCACTATTCTATGCTGCTGCTGTAATAGTAACTATTTATTTATTTATTTATTTATTTATTTATTTATTTATTTATTTATTTATTAAAACATTTTTATGCCGCCCCATTCGCCGAAGCCTCGGGGCGGCTCACATATTTAAGTTAAAATAATTATAATATAAATTAGAATATAAATATAAAATTAAAATACAGCAGTACAGTATAAAATAAGCCACCCTGGCCAGATAAAAACTATGTAACTTCAGAATGTGCAGCTGAGAGTAAGCAGCTCTTGGCATCAGGCCTATGCTACAAAACATTCATATTTTCACACAGAAAGAAATGACTTGATCCAGATTTACTTTTGTATGGGTTTATTCTGTTGTTTTAGATTTGTTATTATTTATATTGTTATGGTTTTAAGCTTTATCTATGAACTGCTCAGAGAGCTTTTGCTCTAAGGCAGTTAAGTCATGTAATAAATAAAAATGGCCATATAGAGAATAAACCCAGTGAAATCAATGGGACAAGATGGTCATATTAATTTAATTTTAATTTACTTTAATGGTTATAAACAATGTATGACTAAAGCTGCAATCCTATTTAGCAGGAAGTAACCCTTGTTTGAATTCACACATGGCATTACACTACAGATATTAATTGAATTGTACTCTAGTTTCATCTAAAAGAAGGCAAATAACATCAAAACTTAACTGTGAGCATAAGCCAGACAAAAATTAAAATACACCAATTTCATTGGCAGAGTTCAAGGTTGTAATTCTACACATTTTCTTTGTAGTAAGCCATCCCACCTGTGGTGGCGCCCCACCTATGGAATGCGCTCTCCAGAGAGGTCCGCCTGGCACCGTCGTTATTTGTTTTTCGGCGCCAGGCTAAGACCTTTTTATTTAAACAATATTTTAACAATTTTTAATATCATCTATAGGTTTTTAATTTGCAGCCAGGGTGAATCGGGATTATATTTGCACTATTTGTGTTCATGCGAATGGGACGGCATACCAAAATTCTAAATAAATAAAATAAATAAATCCCACTGAACAGTGGGACCATCTTCCTTGCACTACACTTATCTACATATACGAGTATGCAGTGAATCAGTCTGTTATCTCTCTGCCACTGACCCCAGGAACTACCGTGGTCGGGCACTTGCTGAGTCCCCTCGAATTGGCAAAAGTCCCCTGGAATTGCTTCTCTTCATCACTGCAACTTGCTAGGCGCAGCCAGAGTAGGTGAGAAACAGCAGATGTCACTGCCTGTTTACACACTGGCTCTGTAGCTGTTAAGTGAGCAACTGCTAGCAAAGATGAGAAGGGGAACGACAGCTGGGAGAAGGTAGCCTCACTGAGGAAGGGGGGCCACTGGGAATGCCTTGACCAAGCCCCCCCCCCCAAAAAAAATCTCTACAGCTGGTATTAATTCAAGTCAATCCACGGGACTCCCCAGCCTTTAACTTGGCCGGACGAATCTGCTTTACCACGCCTTCGATCGTAATTTTAAAAGCATTCTGTATATGCTCAGAGGCACATCTGGCGATTACATCCCTAGTTCCATGGTTCAGCACTGAGTACACGCGATGGCGCAGCAAGTCGAAAGGGTTCCGCCAAAGCCGGTGGCCGACACGGGAGGTAAAGCATCGGTGGCTCACCCACCCGCGGCCGCGACGAGCCCATCCGGGCATCGAGCCCGCGCGCTCTTCCTACCACCTTCGCGCGAAGCCCCGGCCAGCCCGCAGCAGCCGAGCGCGGCACAACCCACCGCTTCTCCGGGAGAAAGTGGGAGCGTGGCCCCGCCCCTCGGGTAGGGGAGCGGGAGACCGGGAACGAGGGGAAAAGGATCGCTCGGCTACTGCGCCTGCGCCGCTTTTGAAAAATGCCGCAGGCGCACTACGAGCCTTAGCTTGCTTCTGCCTGCTTGCTGCGCGCCCCCCCGCCCCCCGCCGATTTTCCTCATCGTGGATGTACATTCTCTAGACTCTAAAGTGTTTCTTTAAAAATCTTGATGGATTTTCTTTCACCTTTGAGATATGATTTTGAAAAATTTAATCTGTTCTTTGGACCATAGAGATGGGAAAAAATAGAGTGACACAAAGAACTCGAACTTCCAGTAAATATAGAACGTTACGGAGAGGCGTCGCTCTCTCTCGGCACAGCATGTACTTTCCCGCATATACCATTCCAGTTTTAAAGAGAAAGTTCCAATGAGGATTACAAGATTGTGTCCATGAAACTAAGACTGGCAACATGCACAAGCCGTCTCAACGCCCCCTCGCTCTATTGCGCGTGCGAAAGATGTCCGGCCTCGCCATTTCACGTTCCGCGTGCGCAGATTCTGCACGGGCGTTAATGCGCACGCTCAGTAGCCAACGGCTGCTTCCTTTTCTTCACCCCATTGGACTGTTTCCCTCGAGGGGGCGGGCTTAGCGCCAAATACAAACGAAGTTGGAACTCCTTCCTGCAGTTCTGTGTGCGTGAAGAACCGGCTGGGGGATTAAAGCGAGGTGAGTGCGATGCGTTCCTGAGGGTGCAGCCTTTCAGAGCTGGGGCTTGGAAGCACGACCCGCTGCGGTCATTGGGTTGCAAAGAATCCTGGCCTTCTTCAGCCAGTTTACTTGGAAGTAAGAGCCACTGCAAGCCGAGGAATTTACGTCGAAGCACCTTTAAATGGGTCCAGAATGGGGGCAGTTAATTTTTGAGATCTGCTGATGCATGAATAAACATTTGTCAAGATGATTTTTAAGGTTTAATTTAAGCCCTGAGCCTTAATGTGTAAATATCCGTAAGGCAGATTACATCAGTTAAAAATATATAAAGCAAATGCCATAGAATTAAAATAAGCAGCAAGGTCTCACAGCTAGAGTTAAACATATGTGAGAATAAAAAGGGCATTCATCTAGCACCAAAAATACCAAAAAGTAAGCAGCAGGTGAGTTTTCTGAGGAGAGACTCCTCTTGGGAGTCCCCGAGGCTTCGGCGAATGGGGCGGCATAGAAGATTGCTAGATAGATAGATAGATAGATAGATAGATAGATAGATAGATAGATAGATAGATAAATGGTAGTGTGCCCCAGTTGTGATGCTGCCTCTTTTTCCTCTGAGGCAGGGTACCACCCAGAGAGGGGCCCAATGATTCCAGCATGTGGAGTTCGATCTCACCCCTTACTTTTTGCCTTATTAGGTACTCATGACGACTCATCAACGCTTAAGCCGGATTGAGGCCCGGCGAGCCCCCAGTAATGCGCCAGGACGAGTACGTGTGTGCGTGAGATTGCGCCCTGCTGTGGGAACTGCACAGGGTCAGGATGCTCTGTGTGTACGAGGTGTGGATTCCCATTCCCTGGAAATCTTCAACTGGAGGAACAAGATGGAGACAATGAAGTATCGGTGAGTTGGGTAGAAAACTTAGGAAGGTCCAGACTTCTCTTGAATGCATGGCTGCATAGTGCCCTAGTTAACAATGAGCTCAGCAGGGGCCTTCCTTTGAACTGAGTTTGATCTGGTGATTCACACATGAGACAAAGAGCTCTAACGTTTGTGCATGCCTTCCAGTGTGATTAGCCACAGAGGTCCACACAACCAACTGTTGTTTTGCCTCTTCCTTGGCACAATGAGAATGAGCAGCTGAGGGGTGCGGGGAATGATCACAGTTGGCTAGGTTGCTGTTCAGGAGCCCTTTGACTCTTTCTCAGGCTTAAGGACAGTGGTTGAGAAACATAATGTGTGTGCCATGGAAGAAGGGTTTTCTTGAGCTCCAGGGTTATAGAACCTGCTTCTGCTTGAGTGAACCTCGCTTCTCTCTCTCCCCACTAGGTTTGATGCTTTTTATGGTGAAACAGCTACTCAACAGGATGTCTATATGGGATCTGTTCAGCCTGTCTTGCGCCACCTGCTGGAGGGGCAAAATGCCAGTATCTTGGCTTATGGGCCTACTGGAGCAGGTGAATATTAAGCAGCACAAATCGACCAAATGAGCCCAGCTGATCTAGGATCAGCTGGAGGCTAGAACTGGATTTTGAGGTGATTGTGATTTTTATTATCTTTTTATCCTTCCTTTCCTTTTGCCAAAATGATAGGCAAGACACACACCATGTTGGGGAGTCCAGATCAGCCAGGCGTGATACCACGAGCTGTCCGGGATATCCTGCAAATGACCAGGGAGGCTTCTGGGAAAGAGTGGAAATACTCGGTATCCATGTCTTATCTGGAGATTTACCAAGAGAAGGTAATGAATGAGTGGTGGAACTGTGTGAGAAGGGGAAATGAAGCCTGGCAGGTTTGGTGGCTAAGACCTGTGGAACCTTCAGAGGAAGGTGACTTTGGACATAATGGGACTGAAAAACCTGGCAGCCCGGGGAGAACATGGTCTAGCAGATTGCAGCAAGGGATACCAGTGGTGGATTTGACACCTGAACCTGCTTTTCAGTTTGTGTTCAAGATACGGCACTGCTTTTATTCCTATAAAGTTTGTTAGCATAACCAGGACTCCATCCTGCTGCCCAAATTTAGCAACCCAGAGAACTGATCATGATATGCTGACTGCTTAAATACCAAGTTTAACTCATAACTCATTTTCAGTTTACATTAGCAAACTAATGAAATGCATAATTTTCTGTGCAAAAGTAAAGCACTTGAAAAGTTTCTGGAAAACATCCAGCCCCATGCCACAGGGGATTGCGGCCTTCTTCTGTGGTGATACTGGGCCTCCACTGTATTTGATCAAAAGTAAACTTCCATGGAATATTGAGAAGTCAGGGCACAGAAGGGGGCTGAGGTGATGCTTCCAGCTCAGCCACTGACAGTTTGCCACTCCCCAGGTTCTGGACCTCCTGCAGCCCTCCCTCCGTGACTTACCTATCCGAGAGGATTGCAACCATCACATCCTGGTGCCAGGGTTGACACAGAGAGAGATTGTGAGCTTTGCAGACTTCGAAAGCCAATTCTTGCCTGCCTGCTCCAATCGGACTGTGGCATCCACACAGCTGAATCAACGCTCCAGCCGCAGCCACGCTGTTCTGCTGGTTCGAGTGACCCAGAAACAGGGCTGGCCACCATATGCCAGCTGGACTGCCAAACTTTGCCTCATTGATTTAGCTGGCTCGGAGGACAACCGTCGGACAGGCAATAAAGGCGTGCGCCTGAAGGAGAGCGGGGCCATTAACACCTCGCTCTTTGTGCTCAGCAAGGTGGTTGATGCCCTCAACCAGGGGTTGCCTCGGGTACCTTACAGAGACAGCAAACTGACTCGCCTCCTGCAGGTAGTTGCGGGGTGGTTCTGGAGGGGGAGGGCAGGTTTGACACTTAAGAGATGAAGCACTTTCCCCTCCCCCAACTATCTCTTTCTCAATCCCTTCAGGATTCTCTGGGTGGTAGTGCTCACAGTGTGATCATCACAAACATTGCCCCGGAGAAGAAGTACTACTTCGACACTCTCACAAGCCTCAACTTTGCTGCCAAGTCCAAGCAAGTGGTGAACAAGCCCTTCACTCAGGAGACCGTGCCAGGCAACGGTAAGGGGGATGGGATGGAGTCCACTTGCACTCATGCACACCAGGAATGTGGCAGGTTCACTAGGAAAGAAGGGGCAGGGAGGTCAGAGTTTTTGGGCCATCCAAGAATGGAGTGTGGCACTGTGTATGGATCCCCATTTAAAAAATATTTATGGTCCAGTTCTAAATATATACTAGAACCCTCATGATCTGCTCTCTCTTCATGGACTCTTTCTGATGGAGGCAGGGAACTTTTGTATGCCTGAGGGCCAAATTCCATTTTGGAGAAGCTTGGGGGGGGGGCTGCATTCTAATGGTGGGTGGACCACACTCAAGAGGGGGATGGTCAAAAATACCAATATATTTTAGTTAAATGCTGTTGGTTTCAGCTACTAAGTCTTAGGAGCCTTTTATGATGTGGACAGAGGTAGTGCACGAAAATTAACAGTAGTTGAGGGAAAAGGATGGAGCTTGTGAACGGGGATATAGCCTTTTGAGGAACTTTGAAGGTCTGGACTTGACCCCAGGCCCTGAGATTTCCCACTTTTTTCAACAAAATAATCCATGCCCCAAGGTTAGATTTCCTTGCCTATTATGATTAGGTAGTAGGTAGCAGAGGGAGTCCTTTGCTTGGTCTATGCAGCTCCTGATGCGTTTGAAGCACTGCATTAACAAGCTGTATTTGTTTTTATCTGCTCCAGCTTTGAGAAAGCGAGTGTTTCTATGTCGTAGTAACTTCTGTCACTTAATTTCTCATTATACTAGTTCAATGGTGGTTGTGTTTTTCTTTATAATATGTGATTTGTAAGCAGATTCAAATTTGATTTTGATAAGGTGAGGTTTTTATGCTTGCCAATAGCTCTGCTTTTTCATGGTACACATTCTTTTAAGGCTACTTATGCACTTAAAATATCACTATGAACAATACCAAAAGAACAACAAACCATCGAGACTTTTGCCTCAGCACAGTTGATGGTAGATGGACTAGGGTAGAGAAGAACCCGGCTAGATCAAGCTGTAAGCTCTTCTTAGTACATCAAACGATCGAAGTGTTCTCACCTTTGACAGTGTCCAAAAGACCCTCCACAGACTTGAGTGATGCTGGCCCAGAAGCCAAGAAACCTTGCCCAGAGGAGGAGCAGTCAAGCAATACTGAGGAGAAGCCACTGAGGTAAGGCATCCGGAATTTTGTGGCTCTTGACAAAGGGCTTTGCTACACTTTGCAGTATGATCAAATTCTTTCATGCCATTTTGGAAGGATGGACCCAGCAAGCCAAGGAGGGAGCTACAACCCTGGCTAGCTTTATCAGAAGAACTAGGTGGGACCTGGTACTTCCCGATTCTTCTGTTCCTCCCCACCAGTGCCTTGCTGCCTCTGGAGACTCTTGAGCCAAGTGTGGTTGAACGGCTGCTGCGATTAGAGGCCTTGGAAAAGGAGCAGGCCAGGGCTGGGAATTGTGCTGTGCCGCTCCTCAACACACCACGCAAGGAGCGCCAGGGCATGTGGAAGCTGCTGGATGAGACTCTGCGTGAGCTTAAGGTGAAGGGCTGGGTGTTTGGCTTTCCTCCTCCTCCTTCTCCAGGACTATTTAGCAATGAAGCTCAGGACCTTCCTCCATCATGGTCTCAAAGAATCAGGTAGGACCTGCATGTACCAACTTGGTTGATCAAATTATTCAGCTTTAAAAGCTGCCTCTGCAAAGGCAGGTTGCAGAGTTGCTTGCTTGGCCTTCTTTCAAAACACAGGTATTGACAAAAAACGAGGGACAGGTAGAATTTCAGCAGAGGCAGTGCTCCTCCATTCACCCAGGCAGGAATGCTCTTTTTCAAATGGCATCTGCCCCGTTCAGTGTTCCCCTGCTGCTCTGCCAGCCATTGTTCGCTTCGTGTACAAATTTATTTGACAGGCAGTCATACTCAGTGGATCAACAAAGCCTCCTTTAATTTAGGGGCAAGGAATTTGTGGGCCCTCCAGATGTCTGTGGGCTGCAGTGCCTGGCAGTCCAAACCAACATAGTGGGAGTTGCAGTGGAGTCCCATTGCATAGTCAGTGGAAGACTCCAGTTGCAATCATATGGGGGACCAGTCACATGTTCCTAATCTCTGCTTGGAGTAACAGCCCTCCCCCTTCCCTACCCTGCTGTCCTGTCACCTAGTGGCAGCTGGAGGGATAGGGGAGCCTGAATAGCTGTTTATTGTAGCAGGCCAAGGGAACTGGCCCTCTTGACCCCTTCTGGGTTCTGTTGGTTACCCCATAATTGTGGAATTTCCTCTCCCATGGAGGCTTCCCTGAGCCTGGGTGCACTTTCAGAGGAGTTTTATAAAGAAAAGAAGGAAGATGCTGTAGTAAGAATATGCCCGCATTTCTTTCAACTGGGGAAGAAGCTGAGAGGTTAGCTTGAAAATTGCATCAAAGAGGAAGCATTTGAAGAGAGGAGGAAGAACTAGTACCAAGTGGGTACTGTAGGAAACAGATATGATGTAAAAGCTGTATCCCTTCCATGTCACAGGCAGAATACGGGGTTACACAACGGTGGTTAATCATCAGTGAAATTCTGCCCCATTCCCTTCCCCTTTCAAATTCCTATTTCAATCATCCCTGAGAGTGTTATTTGCCCCCATCATCTTTTTTGCAGAGTCTTAAAGAAAAGCAGCTAGAGTTGGAAGCCAAAACTCTGCAAAAGAAAGATTGTGTAGTTGCCCCACATGTGCCAGCCAAACCCCGAAAACAGGCAATGGTATTGCCCCTCCAGCAAGGTAGGAGGACCGGAGTGGGGAGAAGAGTCTGGAAGCCAGGATTTCCTTCTCCCTTAAAGGTCTCAGCTTCCCTTCTCTTGCTATCCAGTGCAGCTTGCTGAAGAGACTCACGAGGAAGAGGAAGGCATCATTGTTATAAAGCAGAAGAAGGGAGGCCGAAAGAGAAAGGTATGTAAGGGCATGTGGGGGTCCATCCTGCTGAATGGAGCAGGAGGATGGACAAAGCAGCAAACAGAATAAATTAGGAGACTTTATACCCTCTCTACAGGAGCAACCCCGTCCCCCAAAAATCAAGCTGAGAGCAGAGAGCAATATCTAGGTTGGGATATCAGGGCTGCTCTTGCCCTTCCTTTATTATAAGCAATGTTTGAGGATAAGATCTGGTGGGATGATGTTGGGAATGATTCCTTAATGGGCCAGAAAGAGGGTGGTTTTGGAAAAGTCCAACTGTCTGAGCCAGACCAAAGTTCTCAGAGGAACGGCTGAACCTGGTGCTTCCACACATGCGTGCAAAGCATTGTCTGAGCCAGTGGTTGTCAAACTTTTGGTCCACTGATAAAAGTTTTGACCTTGCTGCCTCTGTGCTGTGTGTTGCAGAGGGTCTCTGGGAACGGCTTTGGCTGGAGTCTACTCTTGATTCACACTGGCACTTGCCTGGCCTGAGGGGTCCCCCATCTCCTTTGTGCAGAGGATTGCACTCTAATACAAGCAAGCAGTGCTTGTGTCAGGCTTGGGAGGGGCCCTCAGGGCAAGATGCCCTCAGTGGAGCTCTCTTGGTCGTCATCATCTGTGCTCAGGCTGCCTTCTGTGTCTGAGCTGCAAATTGCCTGGGAAAGGGGGTGAGCTGGGCAATTGGAGGCTCTTCCTGTCTCCCCTCCCTCATCTTTTCTTTTGTGCCTGGAGAGGGCAGGTGAGCTGGCAGAGCCAGCATGCCGAAGAGAGGTTCTAGCAGTTGGTGGTGGGAAGCCAAATTGGGGTGTGCCTCAGCAGAGGCCTAGCCATGCTTAGCCCTGCATGTTAGCCTAACCTGGTGGCAGTGGGCAATCTTTTGAGAAGGCTTATTTGCCATGCCTGATTTCATTGAGGAACACCCAGCTAAGCTACCATGGAATGTAGTTGGCCATCCATGCTCTCTGCTATGGCTCCTGTTCTCTCTGTTGGCATATATTGGGGCCAATAAAGTGATCTGGGGGAAGAGACACAGGGTTGGTCAAGAATGTTGGCAAGAGGCTGCTGCACTGTCTAACCTTTCTCTCTTCTGTTCCATATTTGTTCTTCAGACTTCAGCCCCTGACCCTGAAAATGAGGCTCCCCCAGAGTGGGAGGTGGAGGTCCGTCCCGATCTGCTGAATCGCAGTAAGGACAACATTCTGGCCATCCTTAACACTGGCTCAGTAAAGGATCTCATGGCCCTGCGCCAGATTGGCAAGAAGAAGGCTCAGCTCATTCTGGGCTGGAGAGACCTCTACGGGTCATTTGAAAAGGTATTTGGGAGATACAGGGACAGATCCTTCCTCCTTCCCTCCAGGCAGGGAGCCCTGTGGGACTGCCTTAACATGTGGTTCAGACCTGCCTCAGGGGTCAAAGCATTGGTGTTTGGTGGGCAGAGGGCTGCTCTTTGACTAGTCCCACATGTAAAGTCAGTTCTCTGGGCAGCCTGGAATATGGGACACTGGCTTGTCCTCAGCTCTCTGAGTGGAAGGATGGCGTTACCTATTGTGAGATCGTAGCTGCTGCATCAGACCAGAGGCTCACCTAGTCCTCTGTTTTGTGGCAGTCCAGACCCTTCTGATTAGGCCACAGACCTGGTGTGGAGGCATGACCTCTCCTCTCCAGTGGTGCTCCAGCAGCCAGACTTCAGGTGCATATTGCCTTTGACCACAGAGGCGCTGCTTGGTCACCAGGGCCAATAGAGGTTGGAGTTGATAGGCCCACCCCTCCGCCCTTGGGCTCATGGCCTTTCTTTGCATCTTAGGACACTGAAGTTCATCAAGGAATTAAATACGCTTTGTGTGAACGCCCCTTTTTGTTTTCCATCTTGAGGCCAGAGCACATCAGTGTCACTGGGTGACTGAGGTCAGAATGTTATGGTTGTGACCAGGCAAGAAAAGCCTTTCCACTTGCTCCATAGTAGGCATAATGTTCTCCCCGCACCCACCACCCCATTGCATCGAGAGAAAGAGCTTTTTTTTGCTTAAGCTGGAAAACCTTCCGCTTTAACTGCACATTATTGGATGAGTCACTTCTGCCTGCCTTTATGTTCACTGTTGCATGAGACTACCATCCCCATCAAACTCCAGGACACGCCCGGTCTGCGGTAGTGGTACTGACCCAAAATTTGTCCACTCTACTGTAGCACCCTCATCCAAGGCTGTATCACACTCTTCATGGTTCTTTTCCTTTGGGTGGTCCGTAGATAGAGACGTCCACCTGCAATATGTGATAAGCAGCTGTGTAATACCAAAACCTCCCTCTCTCTCTTTGCCAGGTAGAAGACATTGGAAAAGTTCATGGCATTTCTGCCAAGCAAGTTTCTTCTTTTCTAAAGGTGTGTATTCGGTTCAGTTTGTGTGTGTTCTCCAGATGATGGACTTGAAACTC